GTAATTTTTTGTTGAAAACTGGACATTTGGATCTAATAACGTGGTAGCTCTGAAAATCAGATGCTGCCCTCTTTCCCCTTGTTTGCTGGGGTTTGTTGTTGATTTGTTTATTGTTGTTGTTGTTGTTTTTTGGAGTATAGTTTCTTTACAATGTTGTGTTACTTTCTGCTGTATAGCAAAGTGAATCAGCCACACGTATACATATATCCCCTCTAAAAATATGGAACGCTTCACGAATTTGCATGTCATCCTTGCTCAGGGGCCATGCTAATCTTCTCTGTCCCATTCCAATTTTAGTATATGTGCTGCCAAAGCAAGCACTGTGTGTGTGTGTGTGTGTGTGTGTGTGTGTGTGTGTGTGTGTGTGTGTGTGTTTAATTGCCATAGGCTGCCTCTATGCTGTGCCTGAGGCATAAACTTAATCTTCTCAGGTCTTTTCTGAGCCTTTCCCTGGGTATATACAGTTACTTTCTAGTTTTCCCCATATATGCAGTTGTTTCTGGATGTTCTAATCTTTAATGTCTGGTTCCAAAAGAGGAAAAAGCAAAAAACGAAGGATGATTAAAAAAAGAAGCCAGCCCTTTAAGTGCTCTGGCAGTCACGTCGGCCTGAGGGGGAGGGCCTGGCAGCGATGGGGGAGGTACAACTATGGCTCCCCCCCCACCATGGGCCCCTCTGGGATCGGAAGCAGCAGCCTGCCGTCAGATCACAGTCCCCTGTATTTGGGGGCAGAGTCCTGTTTCCCACCCTAACTCTCACAATCTATGCAGGTGGCTGCGAGGGCACAGCTGCCTGCCCTGGGCTGGTGATGGGGGTTGAGTAGCCACTACTGTGCAAGAGCTGACTTTTACCAAGATTAACCGCAATTTACAACCCAGCCCTTCCCCCTTGAAGTTGCAAGGCTTCAGCAGACTCCAGATTTCGAGAAGGTTCCACCATTCAGATGCTGCCAGTGCAATGGTCCAGGTGGGGAGACAGATTCTGCTGCTTCCTACTCTGCTGTCTTCCCAGAATCCTCCCACATAACTCTGGGTGCCTCTTGCATGGCGGGGAGATGAGGCTCAGGGACGTAAAGACGAAGAAAACCGTGTCTTGTCTCAAGGAGACGACAGCTGCACATGGGAGAGGTTGGACTCTGGAGCCAGAAAAACCAGTGCAACCCCTGGCTCTGGCGCTGGCAGCTGTGTAACCCTGGCCACGTCCCAAGTCTCAGGCTCCTGACCCAGAAAGGGTGATAACAGTAACTGCTGTGAAAATTCAGCAAAATGGCCCTTGAGAGCACCTCCCGTGGTGGTCAGCAAGTCAGCAGGTCAGCACTCAGGAAATCATTTTCTTCCCATCTCCATGGAAACAGCCCTCAGAGTCCTCAGGCTTGCTCTCCGCCAAATCTGAGGATCTCAGAGGGGAAAAACCATTTTCAAAATCAAGAGTGACCACTCACAGCTGATTGCCCCCGCCTGCTGTGGTCCCATGGATAGGTGTGCCCTGTGCCTGCCAGGGGACAAGCCAGACCTGCCCAACAATAGGTAAAACTTAGGAACTAAATAGGAGTTCCAAAACATTCAAACCTGTAAATTTAATCCCGGGTCTCCATCCATCCAATCAATCCATCCAATCCATCCATGTGATCAGTCCATCCAATCAATCCTCCAATTGTGCTGTGACCACACTCACACACCAGGAAGGACATGCGTAGGCCTGCATCAGGCAGGGCACACACAAGGACAGTCACAGCGGCTCAGATGCAGTGGCCCAATGCTCCAGCCAGCACAGCTGTGAGGCAAGGCATCCTCCCAACAACGTGATGAATCGCACGTGCCGTGATGCAAAATGAAAAAGCCAGACACAATGGAGAACATAATAAAGGATTCCATGCATATCAATTTCAAAAAAGACAAAACAATATATGATGTCAGAAATCAGGGTTGTGGTTACAGGGGAGTGGAGGGGAGTGAGCCCAAGAAGACTCAAGGGGCGAGGGGCTTCTCCTGCTGCTGGCGCCCCTGTCTCCTGACGTGGGAGTGGACTACACATGTGGTTGGCACGAGAAATCAAGCTTGGCGTGTGCTGCAACAGACGGGCCAACTTACATTTTCAGGTTAAAAAATAAAAATAGAAAGGGCTGGGGAGCAGTATTCCACGGGCACAGGCTGTTTGTTCTGGACCAGAAGCAAAGAGCAGAGCATTTGGCCCAGTGTGCAGTGCCGAATCCCAGCACAGCACTCCTGGTGGACACCCGCTGTGGCACTGAGAGCAAACCTCTCTGCCCCGGTGGGGTCTGGGAGGGACATCCGTGGATGCCCGCTGGCTCTGCAATTAGAGGGGACAGGCAGCTGGCGCACGGACATGGGAAGTCCCGAGGGCTCAGGTGGCTGATCCAGACACAAATCATATGGGCATGACACGCTTTACAAGAGATGTAGACCAGACATCCAGCCCTTGCGTGAGAATGCAATCCAGACTGCTGCACAGTCTCAATAAAATGACATCTGAGCTCTGCATCACCGCCCTCCCCCACTGCAGGTTACCTCTGGTTACCTGGGCATCCCCCGACCTGGCTCCCCAGCCTGACACTCAGTAAGAGAAGGTCAGAGAAAGAGGCAGGATAGTCTGTCCATACGGGGTTCCATTGCTGCAGGTCTGTGGCACCTCTTGACAACTTCCTATGACCTATGCTTCCCTTCCCTCGATACACGTAGATTAAGAACAGGCTTAGAACTGCAATAACGATCCAAAAGCTTGTATCACTGACCAGCTTTGTATCCTCAGCGCTGGCACACAGTGGGAGCCCAGTGATTATTTTTTCAGTGATTTAATATAGTTTTCTCCAGTTTGCAATTGTACATATAGCAATATATACAACACACATATTTCTTAGTCTGTATCTAATGAGCTAACATTTATTAAGAGCTTATTATGTGCCAAGCCCTGTTCTAAGCAAGACACAGATGAATATATGTAGTTTCCTCTACAAGTAATTTTCACAACTCTAGCAAGTGGGCATTCCTTTTGCCCTCCCTGTATGGAAGAGACACTGGCAGAAGTGAGCTATGTATCTCACCCACGATCATAGTTGGTTATCTCGTCTAAGCCTTCTGCTACAAACTGTGTCTCCCCACAATTCATATGTTGACATCTTTCTCCTTATAAATTATTTCTTTATTTTTGGCTGCGTTGGGTCTTTGTTGATGTGCACGGGCTTTCTCTAGTTGCGGCGAGCGGGGGCTACCCTTCATTGCAGTGCACAGGCTTCTCATTGTGGTGGCTTCTCTTGTTGAGGAGCACAGGCTCTAGGTGCATGGGCTCTAGGTGCGTGGGCTTCAATAGTTGTGGCATGTGGGCTCAGTAGCTGTGGCTTGCAGGCTCTAGAGTGCAGGCTCAGTAGCTGTGGCGCATGGACTTAGTTGCTCTGCAGCCTGTGGGATCTTCCCAGACCAGGTATCAAAGCTGTGTCCCCTGTATTGGCAGGCGGATTCTTAACCACTGTGCCACCAGTCAAGTCCCAAACACTGACATCTTAATGCCTGATGTGATGGTGTTAGGAGGTGGGGCCTTTGGAGTGATGAGGTCATGAGGGTGGAGCCCCCGTGAATGGGATCAGTGGCCTCATTACTCAGTGCAGTGGCTCTTGGGAACCTGTTTTCATGGAAACAATCTAGGTCTTCCTGCCGCCCAGTTCCCTAAGACCACTTATTTCATGTTGGTTCCCCCAGCACTTGGGTTGCTGTATCACCCATCTTGCTGTCGTGAATAGCGGTTTCCAATGGCTTTCAAACATGTGGTTAATGGTGACCGCAAATGCAAATGTGAATGACAGTTCCCTCTCTGGCCGTGTTGGATTTACTGTTGGAAATTTCATGTAGGACAAGGCATCTTCCAGTCTTGTCTCCAACCAGCCTCCCCAGCTGTGATCGCTACACTCCCAGAACTCTCTCAATGTTGCCACACCCATGCCCTCCACACCGCCACCAGTGGGAGGCCAGGAGAGGGGCCAGGGTGGAGCCAGAAGAGATGGCCCATTTGCACAAGGAAGGTCCATGATTTTTCCCCCAGGGTGAACCTGACATAATTGCCTGGATCGGAGACCAGAAAGGATAAAGGTATGGGAGCAAGGGTCTCACGGCCCTCAGGGGAGATGGATGTGGCCACTCCCAGGACTGCCTGATGACAGCCGGGGGGGGGGGGCACACAGGGCAAAGGAGGCCCCCCACCATCTTGCTGCCCTTGGGTGCTTTACCTGAGCA